CTGACTGGCTGAACCCTTCCCTGCTGACTCCAAGGGAGCCCACTGTGAGCTCACATCTGCTCCTCTGGGGCGGGGATGCAGGCGGGAGGGGGCATACAAGCACACGGCACAGACAGGAGGCGGCAGGGAGGCAGCGAGGGTCTCTCCCCCAGCACCTCGGTCCCTCCCCACCACACCCACGTAAGCCAGCACCAGTTGTGACGCCTCTGCCCTTGAAGAAATGGCTTTTTATTTTCAAAGGAAACAGAGTTGCTGCCATAGATGGAGAACCAGGTGCACCTGGGACTGGAGCCTTGACAAAACCACCTCCCCACAAACACCAGCAGGCCACTGGCGCTCCCTCCACTTGGGAGGAAAAGCATGAACCACCCCTGCCTGCAACTCCTCCCCACAGGGCACAGACACTCAGCGCCAGAGTCACGGGGCTCAGCGCCTGTCTGTGCGCCCGGAGCACGGGTGGTTCCATGCACAAAGGTGTCCTCCGTGGGGCTTGCCCGGGGACAGGTGGCTTCTGCCCCCTCCCTGTGCTGCCCACCCAGACTGACCAGGGCAGAGAGCCCCTCCTGCCATTCCCAGGTCACAATCTAACTGCAGCCCCAGCGGGGGTGTGCCCATCCCACCTTGGGAGGCACTGGGATGCAGAGGGCCTGGAGACGGAAGACTCTCTGGGGGCTGACAGAAGCCATCACCTGGCACACTTACAGCTGGAGCTTCTGGGGCAGGGGCCCCACGTGAGCCCCCACCTTGACCCTCCCCACCAGGCTGCAGATAAGGGAGGGGCACCTCGACAGGGCTTTCCAGGGAGGCCAGGAGCACGTGGGTGTGGGGGCTGCAGGCGGAAGTGAGGGCGCCTTCTGACTGTGGCCGGCACTGCTGACCCCAGCCCCATGGCACAGGCAAAAGATCTGTGCCTCCCTAGACACCCCCCCACCAGCCCACTCAGGTAGCTAACAAAATCATCTGAGGGGAAGTGGGGTGCGCAGGGTCAGCTCAGTGTGAAGTGCTGGGCACAGAGGTCGTCCTGCTGGCCCAGTAGGCCCTGGGCCGGGATGAACTCCAGGGGCACCGATTCGGGCCCCTTCTTCAGGTCCTGCTCAAAGATCTGCAAGGAACGGATGGACACACAGTCAGACCCTCCACACAGCACAGTCCCGGTGCCCCTGCCCTGCGGCCCTGCCGCCATCCCTCACCTCAAAGGCGGTGAGTTCCAGGAGCGGCGCAATGCTGACCTCAGGCACAGACAGCGCCTGGTTGATGACGCTGGCGGCCTTGGACACCTCAGGGTGGTAATGCCGCTGGAGGGCCTGCAAAGGCATGTGGGGTGTCACCACCCCCTCCTTGGGCAAAGCGAGTGGCACAGGAAGCACTGAGCAGTGGGAACATCCCACGACCTCAGAGCCCTGGGGGGACAGAGGCTAAGGCTCCCCTAGGAAGCTGAAGTGACCAGGCGAGCTGGGATCTCCAGGGACCCGGTGGAGCTGCAAGCAGGGGCCAGAGGAGGAGCTGGGTGGTGGGGGGCAGCACCCAGCTGGGGTGGCTCCAGGGAGTCCAGGGCGTGACTCGGGCAGGCAAGGGCCCTCACCTGCAGCTCCCACAGGGAGCTCTCCAGGGCTCTACTCTGGGCTGGGTCCTCCTCTGAGGGGTCATAGGGGTCGGCGTCCAGCGCTAGGAACAAGACCCAGACTCTGGTCTGCCATCTGCCCCGTGTGCTGGCCTCTCAGGCCAGGCTTCCACAGGGTCCCCGGCTGCACTCACCAGGGCCCCTTGGGCGGTGCATGAGGACACGGCAGGCTGGGTGCCGGCGCAGCAGGTTGCAAATGAAGGGCAGGACCATGAGCAGGGCCTCGGGAGGTGCCGTCAGGGCCAGCCGGGCCAGGCGCTTGGCAAAGGCAGCCACCAGGTAGGCAGGGAGATGGCTGGGTGCGGTGGTGGGCATGAGACCCCACTGCCCCCCCATACCAGCCCCCAGTGTCCCTTCCTCCACAGGATGGGCGGGGCACAGGCGGCTGGGTGTCCCCTCCCCCAAGACCCCCTACTCACGAGGACGACAGGAAGAGGTCGGCCAGGTGGAAGAAGCGGGCCCGGTACTTGACGTGGAAGACAGACGGGCCAGGAGGCCGTAGAGCTCCGGTAGAAGTCAGG